TCGATTTGCATTTTGCCCGGAAAGGGCGTGGGCCCAGGGTTCTCTTTTAGCTGTTTACCCCGGAATCGACGGCTGTAGGGCTGGCGGAATTATTTTGCGATAAATAACGAGGTCGCCTAGGGCCGGCGAAATTATGTTTGAGGACGTCTCGAGCGAAACGCTTGTTTGTCTGAGTTTGTTGAGGATGTCTCGAGCGAAACGCTTGTTTTGTGTTAAATATTGTCCTCTCAATTCAGAAGATCTCTCAAGTGAAATGCTTGTTTTCACGTGCCCAGGTCTTGAAAATGTCTCGAGCGAGGCGCTTGGCTTCACGCGTCCACGTTGCCCAGGCAGATGTCTAGCATGAGGATCTGTTGAGGATGTCTCGAGCGAGACGCTTGTTTTCACGCGTCCAGGTCGCCCAGGCGGATGTCTAGCACGAGGATGTGTTGAGGAAGTCTCGATCGAAACGCTTGTTTGCACGTGTCCAGGTTTCCCTGGCGGATGTCTAGCATAAAAATGAATTGGGAACGTCTTGAGCGAAAAACATGTTTTCACGTGTCCAAGCCGCCCAGGCACAGCACAGCCCTCGGCACGGTACATCAAGATCGATGCACTCAACATTGCAACTTGGCACGTCCCCTGGCACGTTCCGTGGCGAGCCCCACTGGCACGTCGCGCGGCGCGTCCCCTGGCACGTCCCGTGGCACGTTCCGCAGCGCGTCCCCTTAGCACGTCCCGCGGTGCGTCCCCGTGGCACGTCCTCTGGCACGTTGCCTGGCGCGTCCCTTGGGACGTTCCGCGGCGCGTCCTCCTGGCATGCCCCCCTGTCAATTAGCTTTGGGGCAGCTACTATGTCCTTAGGCAGCTCGAGCTTAAGATCCAGATCGATTTGGTCAGGACTCGGATGCAGAGGACTCGATCCACAATCGCGGCATGACACATCGCAATTCAGCACGGCGCACCACAGCAAAGCCCTCGGCACGGTACATCAAGATCGATACACTCAGCATTGCAACTTGGCACGTCCCCTGGCACGTTCCGTGGCGCGTCCCGTGGCGAGTCCCACTGGCACGTCGCGCGGCGCGTCCCCTGGCACGTCCCGTGGCACGTCCCGTGGCACGGTCCGTGGCGCGTCCCCTTGGCACGTCCCGCGGTGCGTCCCCGTGGCACGTCCCCTGGCACGTCGCCTGGCGCGTACCTTGGGACGTTCCGCGGCGCGTCCTCCTGGCATGCCCCCCTGTCAATTAGCTTGAGGCCGGTTCTATGTCCTCAGGCAGCTCGAGCTTAAGATCCAGATCAGTTCGGACGGGACTCGGATGCAAAGGAGAACTCGATCCACAACGCTATAGAGCACAATCGCGGCATGGCACATCGCGATTCAGCACGGCGCAGCACAGCACAGCCCTCGACGCGGTATATCAAGATCGATACATTCAGCATTGCATTCGGCCGTTGCCCAGTGAAACGTTGCCATGCCTTACATTTCTGTATTCCTCTCCGGGTTCGTGGGTCGATCATGTTTTGATCTGCTTGGTTTCCGTAATTTCGAAAATTCCGCATTCTCGAAGCCTTCCGAAGCCTCCAAGGGCAGAAACACACAAAACGACGCCTGTACCCGAAACATCCCCCAATCGTGTATATATATATATATATATATATATATATATATATATATATACTAGAACCACGCGCGCGCTTCGCGCGCGCCCAGGTTCTAGGGCGGCACAGGCAGAGCATTCGTTTGACAGAACAGGGGATGAGAGGAGTGGCAAAGAGAATCCCACCAGCTCTCTGTGCGTAGGTGGTTGAGCGCGTTTCCTCCCTCCACCCTTCCCTCTACCCCTTCGGGGAGGGTACCTCTGCCCCTAACCATCTCCCCTGGACCTAAATGGGGTCCCCGCGAGCGGTCAGATCGTGTCTTGGGGGCTTCTTGGGTTCTCATGGGGGCATCTTCGGGCGGAGAGCTCGATTGATAGGTTCGTGTTCCCTATCTTGGGCCCCTCTGAGGCCTTCTTGGGGCACTCTTGGGCCGTCTTGGGCGGATCCGGGGCGGTCTTGGGTCTCTCTTGGGCCGTCTTGGGGCTCTCTTGGGGGCATCTTGGGCCGTCTTGGAGCAGTCTTGGGAGCCTCTCGGGCGGTCTTGGAGCCTCAGAGCGAGAAACCAAAAAACACAGAAAAAACAAATGAAAAATCAACGATTTCTGCCTCTCGGGGCCGTCTTGGGAGGCCTCTTGGAGGCCTCTGGGGATTCTTGGGGGCGTCTTGGGTCGTCTGGAAGCCATCATGGGCGTCTTGGACCGATCTTTCGGCGACTCTGGGCCCTCTTGGACCGTCTTGGAACATTGGGCCGTCTCGAGGGCCTCTTGGGCCGTCTTGGAGCCCCCAGGGGGGGGGGTAACACGGGCGTGACCCGGATGTCCCGGGGGTGGGCCGTAGCGCCGGGGGCCGGGGACCTGGTATTCATCCATTATATATATATATATAGATTCATACATACATTTGCAGCTCCCTCTTCGCTATCTCATGGCTCCCCGACGAACCTATTCGGCCACGATGGTGTGAACATGGTCTTGAAACCCTTAGCTGTGTTATAATGGCGTAGTGAAGTGCTTCCGCTGTGGCAAAACATCACTTGGACCATCTGGCGTCCCCGGGCACACTGATTAAAATATGTGTGCGAACCGGTTCCGGCTGTGAGGAACCATACCCCGTACAGCATAGTACCTGAGACAACGTATCCATCAGCACGGGAAGGACGCCACAGCGCATGCTGGACTCTTCCTCAAAAAAACTTGCAGCTTGCATTCAGGGGCTTTTATTTGCTTCCGGAGGGCATGATTCTCGGCGGCGCACACAAGGGGGTCGAGTGAAGGGGGAAGGCGTCTTAGAGGGAGGCTGCTTCTTAGAAGACGCCAGCCCTACATCTACATCTATTGACAAGGTCCACGCCTTCTAAGAAGCAGGGGTGCTTCTAAGAGGCCCTCCCCCCTCTCCCCTATGTGCGTGGCTGGCGCTTGCTTCCGAAAGACAGGATCCTCTGGCCTGCAGTCACCCGTTGCCCCACGGCTGGTGCCCCACGGTCGGTGCCCTCACGCCTTGTCCTGTGGGCCGCTGTCGGACATTTCCCGTCGGTGCCCCCTGTTCGTTGCCCTGCACGTTCGTGCTATACTGGTTCCCAGTGGGCCCCAATCGGCCGTTCCCCGTGGGTGCCCTTTGGACGGTGCCTTATGCTGAGGGGTAACGAGGGATGGGGGGGACTGGCATGGAGGGACGCATCGACTTGCATCACCGATAGATCGGCGATACGCCCCCGATCGTGAATCCGCACGTGCCTGGGCAGGTTGGGGCTATTGGGCTCCTATCGGCGATCAGTGGGCGATTGGGGGTCGATGCATCCCCCGCCTATGCCCATCCCCCCCTCTTGTTGCCCCTGAGATGCGTTGGTGTCCTACTGGCTCCCTGTGAGCCATGGTCGGCTATTCCAGCTCAGTGCCCTGTGGCAGGTGTCCTACGCGTTAGTGCCCTACTGCCTCTAGTGGGATAGGCCGCGCTCGGCCGTTCCCTGTCGCAGCCCCATGGCTGGTGCCCTATAACTGTTGCCATGTGCTCCCCTGTAAGCCCCGGTCGACCCTTCCCAGTCAATGCCCATGGCTGGTGCCCTGTGCATTGGCACCCCACTGGCTGCTCCCGATCCTTGCCCTATGGCCAGTACCCTGTTGTGATCCATGTTTCCCCGTGGGCCGCAGGCGGCCGTTCCCAGTGGGTGCCCGAAGGTCCTATGGTACCCAATGCATGGTGCCCTATGGTGCCCCATGATTGGTGCCCGTGATTGGTGCCGTATGGTTGGCGCCATATGGTTGATATACGTATAGCTAGCACATCGGCAGTGCAAGAATCGATTGAAGCTGGCCCACGCGCTGGCATAGTACTCTTGACACAGTCCACGATGCAAATGTTCAAACTTGTGGCACCGAGGCGTTTTCAGATTGGCAACGCGTGCGTTCCATGTGCATTTATGGGGCGTTTAAGATGGCCGCACACGGCTTGCGTGGAGCATAATCGAACTCACATCCAACCTTACGATGGCATGCCATGTTGGTAAGTCATGTAACTCATGCTAGGAAAGCAAGCATGTATCGTCCCCCCCCCTGAACTGCATAAGGCGCTTCCGGTGAAACTCATGCGGGCAGTGCTCAAGACAAGACTGTTCGAGCACGTGGAGGTGTGAATGCTTCTGAGGTGCCTCTTCTTGGTCGCAACTGGAAGCATCCTCGTGATTGCATGTCAAGCGTCGGTGCCCGAACTCACTGACTCCATGACATCACTCAATTGCTGCGAATCTCAGCCAGGTACCTTTCACATCCGACGTTTCGGTGTAGGCTCTGCCCAAACTCTGTGCCAGTCTGGTCTTCGCGGCAGCACCGTTCCGCTTGTGCGACGGATGCAGAAACATATTGTCATCCCATGGAAGCACTGGTTTTCACTGGTTACGAGCATATCAGTCAGGGCACCCTCCATCGACTCACTGCAGTCGCTATCTCCAACGAATGCGCTCTCACTGACGCCCCCCCCAGTTTACTCACATTTGTTGCAATCTCCGACGTTCGCTCCCGCACAATGGTGTTCGTGTGACAGGAAGCGGATACGGCAAGTTCGCGTTGCGGTGACGTCTTTCTCACACCGCCCAAATCGTTCAACCTTGAAAGATGACGGTTTGCCGATCTAGCGCCGCTCGTTCGGTGTCGACCACTGATGAGCAACTGGCGGCGTTCAACCTTGAACGCCCGCGACAGGGTTTCCGCCACGTCGACGCGGAACAACCGCACCAAAAACCCGTCCCACGACTCGGGTCTGCTGAAAATCTGTCCACATACCTATCCTGGGGCCCATCGGGGTTCGTCTCTCCATCTCGAACCGATTTGCAGCGGTCCCGAGGCCCGAAACCCGCCCGCAAGCGCTGAAAACACTGCAAAACCGTGAAACGCGGGCCGCACGGCTGCCGCAAGGCTGCGCGGGTCCTCCGGGCCCAGCTCCAGGAAAGCCACGTGCCTGCCAGTGGACGCCAGCCGCGCGCTCAGACTCAAGGTGCCCCTCGGGTGGGAGGCGCGCGGCCAGGTCCGCCTCGGCCCCTGTCCGCCACCTCTGCCCCCCACCGAAGGTTCCACACCCTTCCGTGCCCCCCGGCCGGGGAAGGAGGATTGAAGGGAAGAAAGGACAAGTGGCGTGCAAGACCCCGCCGCCCATCGTGTGGTACGTGCGGCGCACGTCCCGTCACGATGGTGGGAACGCGGAGCATCTGTGAATTCGAAGAGGTAGGCGCAAAAGGAAGCCGCATGATGTGAGAGCGTCGCCTCCACATGTCGAAGATGGCTGGCAAGGCACATGAGGCTGGCAGAGAGGCGGGATACTGTGTGCACCACTCAAAGTCACCGCATGGGGACATCGAGAGCCGGGACTGCTGGTGGGCTCTCTGGGAGGGAGCCTTGGGGCTGCCGCCAGAGCGCCAACACATGGGGGCAGCGGAGGCCGGGAGCCAGCACTTGCCAACTCGGACTGGCCCCCGCGGGGCGGACTCTGTGACTGACCAGAAAATGACTACCTACCAGACCACCCCAACCCAACCCGAAGGTCCGAATTTCGGGTTGGGGGGGGTAATAGGGTTCCACGCGTGTTTTTTCCATGTTCCCCGACCCCCCCCCCACTGGAAATCGACGGTAAATTCGAGCCTTCGGGCTGGGTTGGGGTGGTTTGGTGGGCGGTGAGACAAGCAAGCCACCACGCGGGGGAACTCCGAGCGCACAGCCGGCGCGTGTCGGGAGCGACCAAGAGGGGGGTGTCCAAGAGGGGGGGGTGCAAATCATGACCGGCGGCATGCGCGCGGCCCAGCGGGGGGGCCAGGGACGTCATGAAACAAGAAGGGGCGCCATGACATCTGGGGAAACATCATGGCCCCCGCCATGAAATTCCCTCCCCCCTAGTCATCACCCACCTCTATTCCGCCCCCGAGCGTGGGGAGGAGGAGGAGGAGGAGGAGGAGGAGGAGGAGGAGGAGGAGGAGGAGGAGGAGGAGGAGGAGGAGGAGGAGGAGGAGGAGGAGGAGGAGGAGGAGGAGGGAGGCGGAGGAGGAGGAGGAGGAGAGGAGGAGGAGGAGAAGGAGGGGCCCGCGGGGCAGCGGAGGCCGGGGGACGGGGCGGGCGGGGCACGGGTGGGCAACGCTCAACGCTCGGGATGGCCAACGCGCGAGGGCCCGTAGGGGGCCACGGCGGCCGGGACCCTGCGCGGGGTGGCCAAGGAGGAGGAGGAGGAGGAGGAGGAGGAGGAGGAGGAGGGAGGAGGAGGAGGAGGAGAGGAGGGAGGAGGAGGAGGAGGAGGAGGAGGGAGGAGGAGGAGGAGGAGGAGGAGGAGGAGGGGGAGGAGGAGGAGGAGGAGGAGGAGGAGGAGGAGGAGGAGGAGGAGGAGGAGGAGGAGGAGCCGCGGAGCCCCGTGCGGGGGCGACGGGGGACGAGGTCATATGGGCAGGGCCACCAGAGCGCCACCGCGCGGGAGCAAAGCACAGATCAGGAACCCACGGGAGGGCCCCTCCTGGCATGGGCCGCCGCGGGGACGCCATCGTCGCGCAGGCCTTCTGTGACAGGAACCAAACGAATAACCTCTTGATGCAAGCAGTTGGGAGGAATGACCACCCTCACGTTTTGCTTACCAAATGGGTTCCGCGGGCCCGTCCACCAGTGTAGGACGGCCGTCGGAACTCGTCGCTCACATATGCGATGTAATCAGAGTGACTCGACCCACTGGCACCGCTGATCTGCCCAAACCCGACTCACCTATCCTTGTATTCGTATGGGCTGAACGCAGGAGATGCCTTCCCTGCCAATCGCCCAGCGCCCCACATTGCAGCTCAACAGGGCGAGCTCGCGTGCGCTAGGAGACGATGGAAAGGAGGAGCGGGGCCTCAATTGCCCCGGCGGTCCTCTCCGAATCCTCGTTCGCTCTTCCCGCGTGCTCCCCCTGCAGGCATGCTCCTGCGCAGCCCCAAGGCGGCCGAAGAGAGCCTAGAAGGACTGAACGACGGCCCAAAATCAACTCACGGCTGCCCCCAGAAACCGCAGACGGTTTCAAGGCCGCTGGACGCGCTCCCCAAGACACACGAAGACAGGCCGAGGATCCTGGACGGGTCCCGACCAGATCCCCAGGGCCCAGGGAGCCCCAGGACCTGTCCGAGAAGCCCTCCAGAAGCCACGGCCCCCCCCCCTTTTCCGGTCGCCCGCCCACGACGCGCGGCCAGGGGAGCAGCGACTGATCACAACCAGGGGAGCCGCGTACCCTCACAATCTAGTCGATTCGACGGAGCTGCTTCTCTCGTGTAGGGCTTCGCCCCAGTGTACCCTTGGACTCGACTGAGGGCCCCCGAGTGAACGCATGGTGACAAATGAATGGCTCTCTTAGTTGCGACGACGGCACAGCCTCACATAACCTTTGGACCTGGCTAATGGCACGCTAGTGACCACCTTATCATGCACTGATGCTCTCTACAATACGATGACGCGCGAGAAGGACGCGACGCGAGCCCCTCGAAAATCGCCAGTGGGCCATTCGTGGGCCAAGAAGCGTCAGCAGGTCGGCTATGGGGCATCAGTGGATCAGATTCATGGATGGTCTATTAGTGGGTCAAAGTCGTGGACTTGGCCATTGGCGGGGTCTTTGGTTCGCCATCAGCGGGACATTAGAAGGCCATTCGTGGACCTTCCGTGGGGCGAGAACGGAAAACGGGGCATTCCATTAGCAAGTGTGAAGGAAACCCAAAACATACCCATACTCCGGACTATACACACATTCTGGACAATTCGGCGGGCCAAACCTTCTTTGCTACTCTGGTGGAGCACAGTCCCTGATGCTCTGGCCACAGAACCGACGCACAGAACTCAACCCCTGAGCGCTACGTCGAGTCGATGACGGCAAACCTGCGCTTAGGCGGACCCGCGCGCCGTTCTCTGCAAAGTGAGGATCAATCAACATCGAACGGGGAAAATCTGGCGTGCGCTTCGGACTGGGTCACATCGACACGGAATCGACATCGACATCGAATCGGATCGGCTGTGCCAAAACGCAGAACAACGCCATGCAAGCATCTTTGGACGCCCGAAATGGGTACGGAAGATATGGGTACAATGCCCAACAACGAATGTTGTCCCAAACCAGCAGCGGCCGCTGCTGGGCAGGCGGCCGTTTGTCTCAACACCGGCCGCGGCGGCGCGGACAGCGAGTCCTGTTCAAAATGAACAGGGACTGCTGTTGGGCACTGTACCCCTTCTTTCCGTGCCCAGTTCGTCCGAGTGACATGGCCGACCTCGGCATCGAACCGAAGCGATCGGATCGAGAGGGGCCCGGAGGGTGGCGGCACTCGCCGCGTCTCCCTCGTGGGCGAGCGCGGAGGGCCCGGTCGGCCCACGCATCCCGCAGGCCGAGCCCCGACGTCGCCGCCGTCGTCGCCGCCGTCGTCGCCGCGCCGACGCCGCACGAGCGCCGCGCGAGCGAGGGCGGAGCCCCCGAGGCCACGCCTCTTCTGCAGCGGCAGCCGGCGGCGCCGGCCGGGTCGCGGCGAGCCCCCGGAGGCGAAGGGGCGCATGGCAACGGGCGCGGGCGGCTGCCGGCCGGCGCGCGGCCGCAGCCCCCTTGCCTCTTGGGCCGCGCTGGGGGAGGCAGGCGCGTGCGTTTGGGTCTATCTAGGCGTGCGTCTGTTTTGTAGGGTATGCAGTGGTGTGTATGTGTTTGTGTGTGTGCAGATGTGCGTGCGCATGCGCATGTGTATGTGAACTGTTTTCGTGCAGGTGTATCGCTGTGTCTACATGCGTATATAGATACATATATATATGTACATATATATACATACATACATCAGAGTGAGGGGGCTGAGCCGAACGGTCATTCACTGTTCCTGGGTGCGTGGCTGAAGTGGAACTCCGAGATGCGGATTCTTGTTGTTGTCGTCGTCCCACCCGCGACCCGCCCCGCGACCCACCCGCGACACACCCTCGACACAACCCGCGACCCACCCTCGACCCAGCCCGCGACCCACCGGCGACCCACCCGCGACCCACCCGCGACCCACCCCGTGACCCGCCCGCGAGCCACCCCGAGACCCCCACGGCGACCCACCCGCGACCCACCGGCGACCCACCATCGACCCACCCGCGACCCACCCCGCGACCCACCCGCGACCCACCCGCGACCCACCCGCGACCCACCCGCGACCCGACCCCGCGACCCACCCAAAATTTTCGGCGCCTGCGGCGGGTTTCTGTTGCATTCGTTCCAGGTGGAGAACCTGCGACCCACCCGCGACCCAAACCGCGCCCGCGACCCACCCGCGACCCACCGCGACCCACCCGCGACCCACCCTGCGACCCACCAAGAATTTTCGACGCCTGCGGCGGGCTTCTGTTGCATTCGCTCCAGGTGGAAACCCTGCGACCCAACCGCGACCCAAACCGCGTTCAGCATACAAATCAAATTTTCGGCGCCTGCGGCGGGCTGTCTTTGAATTCCTTCCAGGTGGAGGTGGAGAGCCCGCGACCCACCCGCGACCCACCCAAAATGTTCGGCGCCTGCGGCGGGCTTCCTTCGCATCCGTTCCAAGTGGAGAACCTGCGACCCACCCGCGACCCAAGCAGCGTTCAATGCACAAATCAAAGTTTTCGGCGCCTGCGGTGGCCTGTTTTTGAATTCATTCCAGGTGGAAGTGGAGAGCCCGCGACCCACCCGCGACCAAAACTACGTTCACTGGACAAGCCAAAACTTCGGCGCCTGCGGCTGGTTTCTGTTGCATTCGTTCCAGGTGGAGAACATACGACCCAAACCTCGGCGCCTGCGGCGGGCTGTTTTTGAATTCCTTCCAGGTGGAGGGGGAGGAGGAGGAGGAGGAGGAGGAGGAGGAGGAAAAGGAAAAAGAAAAGGAGGGAGAGGAGGAGGTGGAGGAGGAGGAGGCGGACGACGACGACGACGATGAAGACGAGGACGC